ATAATAACAAGTAAACACAATAAAGGAAAATACCAACATAAAGACTCACAGTAATAGTGGAATAAGACAATTAATGCACTTGAACCGATAACAACAAGAAGATCAGTAAATAGAAGTAAAGGACAGCATAACTCAATTATCAGCAAAATCAGGAAAATCAAAGACAAGTGCACGGCATCACCCTTCGTGCTTTAACACTCTTCCTCACCCAAACAACAATCACAAAACAAGGGCAAGGGAAATAAACAAGAACATATAGGAATCCCGGCAAGGGAACAACAATTAAACAATTAAATCCCGGCGAGGGAACATTTCAATAACTCTTTCTCTATCTTTTACTTGTACTTCATAACTCACTTTACCACTTGAGCCAATGCTCCAAAGGGTTTAATCGTTTCATATACTTTCACAATTCATTATATAACTCGAGCCAATGCTCCAAAGGGTTTAATCGTTTCATATACTTTCACAATTCATTATATAACTCGAGCCAATGCTCCAAAGGGTTTAATCATTTCATATACTTTCACAATTCATAGTATAACTCGAGCCAATGCTCCAAAATGTTCAAAGGTCTCAATTCCTTCCACAAACTTTTCACAACAACTAGAAATCATCGCCAAAGCATGAAGAATACAACTAAATCATGAAAATCACAATATAAGACTCACGGTCATACTTGACACCAACGTATAGATACTCGTCACCATGCCTATACGTCGTACTCAACAATTATCACATAGCAAATAGGACTCAACTCCTAATCCCTCAACCTAAGGTTAGACCGAACACTTACCTTGATGCTTTGAATTCAACTCAAGTCTCAATTATGGCTTTACCCCTCGATTCCACCACCAATCCGCTCGAATCTAGTCACAAGTTACTTAATTACATCAATAAACGCTAAATGAATCAATTTGAATGCATAAAAAGGAATTTCCCAAAGTTTTTCCCAAAATTTCCAAAATCGCCCGACCCACGTGGTCAAAACCTAAGGTTCGAACCAAAACCCGGTTATATTCCCCCACGAATCCAAATATGTGATTTGTTTTGAAATCGGACCTCAAATTGAGGTCCAAATCCCCAATTTTTAGAAAAACCTAGGTTCTACCCAAAACCCCCAATTTCTCCCATGAAAATCTTTGATTTTAAGTTGAAAACATGCTAAATGATGTTAATGATTGAAAGAAATGACTAGGTAAGCCTAACAATGCGGAAGATAAACCATAATTGCGGAAGAAAGTAAATAAAAATGAACTGGTAAAATAAAACGGTATTTAAGGTGCCGCTCGGCACATACCACAACAATTCTCGAAGCTAACAAAATTCCCAAAATCCGGAAACTCACAAATCACAAGCTAAGGGATACATAAGAGGCTCTGACTCAAGAATGTCTATACAAAGGAGAAAATACTGAAGGAGCTATACTTATTACAGAAAGTGGAAAGGGACTCCTCGGTCTACGGACGTAGCAGATATGCCTTGAAGTCTCTACCGATACGCCTCCTTCCAAGGCTGACAGACTGAGTGGGGGTACCTGTATCTGCACAACAAAAATGTGCAGAAGAGTAGCATGAGCACACCACGGCGGTGCCCAGTAAGTATCAAGACTAACCTCGGTGGAGTAGTGACGAGGAACAGTCAAGACACCTACCGGTCAAATAAACAATAAAATCATAGGAATAATGGAAACAATATATAAATCCGTGCGATCAAATCGCCAAAATAACATCACATTCATCGAATTAAGCCTTAATATTCATGATTTCTTCCCAATTTTTCATAACACATCAAATTTCCATTTTAAGTCCGAAACACGTCAAACGACGTCCGTTTTCAACCAAACTTTACAGAAAGTGCTTAAATCATATATAAGACTTGTACCGGGTGCCGGAACCAAAATACGGGCCCGATACCATAGTCTTCTAATCAAATTTCATTTCCAATTTCCTTAATTAATTCCAGAAAATAATTTCACACAAAAATTTATTTCTCGGGCTTGGGACCTCGGAATTCGATTCCGGGCATACGCCCAAGTCCCATATTTTTCTACGGACCCTCCGGGACCGTCAAATCACGGGTCCGGGTCTGTTTACCCAAAATGTTGACCGAAGTCAAATTTATTCATTTTAATATCAAATTTAGCATTTTTCTCACAGAATTCATATTTAAGCTTTCCAGCTACGCGCCCGGACTGCGCATGCAAATCGAGGCAACCCTAAATGAGGTTTTCAAGGCCTCGGAAGTACAGAATGGGTAAGAAAACAGGTGATGACCCTTTGGGTCGTCACAAGTTATGCTGGTATTAGTTATGCTGACATATTTCTTATCCATTGTTTGGTTGATGTATTAAAGCATTGCATAATTTCTAAAAGAATTGCTTGTTTACAAAAATGCCCCCAAAACCAGTATATCACTCTAAATTTTTAAAAGAAACATATGTTGAGCAATGTTTTTATACGAAAAAGTTTAAAAAAACTTATTTGATTTGTCTACCTATATTGTAATATAGAACTAAATATTTATTTATAAAAAAATACATGCTAAGTATTTATTTATTTACTAGAGATATAATTTTATTTCTCACTATTTGGATTATTTTAAACTTGCATTAATATAATAACTAGCATAGTTTAATCAAGCATAAATTTTGAAGGACAATTTTGTCTATAACTAAGCTAATGCATGCGTTAAAACCCATTGCATTGCTAATACCATAATTCTTTATGCATTAGTTATGCATATATAATACTAAATAGGATGTATAACTAATGCTTGCATAAGTAATGCATAGGTTTAAAATGTCTACCAAACAAAATATTATTAATACACAAAGCTAATGCATGCATTATTTTATCTAATGCATCCTACCAAACGACTGCTAAATTTAATTGCGTAAAGTAGGACTTTCAAGTAGAAGAAACCACCCAAAGATGATTATATTTTATTAATCACGAGAATTGTACAAATGTATTAGAGGAATTAGGCCTATACCTCTAAATACCTTTTTGAGTTTGATTCTTGATCATTGACCTAACCTCTTAATAACAGCCTTATTTTCAGCAAACGATATGTTACATAGAGAAATAATAGCAAAATCTTATTTGACCTTTGAACAGTCCATATCTGGGCTAATCTTGAAAGGAACACGCGCGTGGCATCGTCCCGCCAGACCGTTGGTGCGGCCAAGTTCTTCGGGTGTGGCACTAGAAGCAGCACCCGTGGCGCACAAACAAAAGCTTTGGCGGTCCGGTCTAGTCTTGGCGATAGAAATGAGAGGTTTAAGCCCACTGCACCACTCTGGTGGTAGAGTTCCGCCACCAAGTACGTTACCAATGCATGGCTGGAGGCTACTGCACACAGTGTCACAAGAGAGTAATGCCTCCGTCCGAAGTGCTGCAGTCAGCACCGTGCAAATGAGGAGCAAAGAAAGTGGTTTCTTAGGACTTAACAATTTGGAGCTGGCCATTGCCTTAATTGGAAATATATTCTTGTTGAGAAAAGCTTAGTAAAATTTACGTTTTTATAGTACACGCACAAGTTTTGTTATTTGCCTTGGGCATCACAATATGCTGGATATTTCCTTGTATTTTTTGTAACGACCCGACCGGTCGTTTTGAGCTCTAGCGCGTCGTTCAACAGTCTGAGGCCATGAGCAGCTTCATTTCAGGTACTATGACTTGTACGCATGGTCGGTATCGAATTTCGGGAAGTTCGGAGTTGATTTGGAAAGGGAATTCTCATTTCGGAAGCTTAAAGTTGAAAGAATTAACTAGGATTGGATTTTTGAGTAAACGACCTCGGAATCGGGATCTAAAGGTTTCAGCAGGTTCGTATGATGATTTCGGACTTGGGCGTATGCCCGGTTCGGGTTTAGGGTAACCCGGGAGCGTTTTGGCGCCTATTGTGGAAGTTAGCATTTTGGAAGAAATTTCATAAGTTTGGCTTGAAGTGCATTTCAGAGTTATGGATGTTCGTTTGGGATTCCGATTCTGTGAATAGCTCCGTATGGTGATTCTGGAGTTGGGAGCGCGATCGGAAGTGGATTCGGAGGTCCGTAGGTCATTTTGGAGTCATTTAGCTAAAGATAGAAATTCGAAGGTTTTTGAGAAGTTTGACCGGAAGTGGACTTTTTGATATCGAGGTCGGAATCCGATTCCGAAAGTTGGAGTAGGTCTGTAATGTCGAATATGACTTGTGTGCAAAATTTGGGGTCAATCGGACGTGATTTGATAGGTTTCGGCATCGAATGTAGAAGTTCGAAATTTCAAAGTTCATAAAACTTGAATTGGGGTGTAATTCATGGTTTTAGCGTTGTTTGATATGATTTGAGGCCTCGAGCAAGTCCGTAATGTGTTTTAGGACTGGTTGGTAGGCGTGGTTGAGGTCCCGGAGGCCTCGGGCGTGTTTCGGATGCTCAACGGATCGATTTTCGCCTTGTGAGGATTCCTGGTTTTCTGGTATAAGTGCAGTAGGTTTTTACTCTATGCGATCGCAAGAGAGGGTCTGCGATCGCATAGAGCAAGAGTTGAGGGAGCTGGAGTTTACCCTACGCGATCGCAGGAGGTGCAATGCGATCGCAGAGGAGGAAGGCTGGGGTTTATGCGATCGCAGGGTTGGTGTCGCGATCGCACAGAAGGAATTAGGGAGGCAACAGAGTTGGCCTATGCGATCGCGGGGATATGTTTGCGATCGCATAGAAGGTCGCCTGGGCAGTATTCTTTTAAAATCGGGTTTTGGCTCATTTTCACTTCATATCTTCCATGGGAGCCAATTTTGGAGCAACTTTGGAGTGTCAATTTCATCACCAAGCATGAGGTAAGTGATTTCTACTGGTTTTGAGTTAAATACAAGGTTTATATGTGGATTTAGACATTGAAATTTGTAGAAAACTTGGGGTTTGAGGAAAAATCTAGAAAAGTAGTATTCTTGGATTTTGACCACGATTTTAGGTATGGAATTTAGAGAAAATTATATATTTGAGTTCGTGAGGCTACGGGTAAACCTATTCTTCGAAAATTTTGGAAATCCGGGCACGTGGGCCCGAGGGCGTTTTCGTCAACTTTCTGATCGGGGTTAGGAATTGTTATAAATTGGATTAATATGAGAAGTTTACCGTATATTAATGGATTTGCATAATCATTGGCTAGTGTTGGAGCGTTGTGCATCAATTTGAGTCTTCAGAAGAACGTGGAATGCCGGTTATGGATCTTCGGAGCGAGGTGAGTCTCCTTTCTAACCTTGTAAGAGGGAATTGTCCCCATAGGTGAGTTAATTGGTTATGTGCTCCTATTTATGGGGGCTACATACGCACGAGGTGACGAGAGTCCGTGCGTAGCTACTATTATATTGTTGTCCGAGTAGTCTAGGACCCAAAAGCATGCTGTACTTGGAATAATTGTAATGTTGGTTACAATTGAATTGCTTAAATCCTGTCGAATTGGTAAATGAATTTCTAAAAGGACTAAATTTTTTTTTCTTAAATCGTTAAAAGAGAATTGGCTTTTATTTGGGTAAATGTTCCTCGATAAATTCTTAATCTGCTGTTTGAGCATGTATTTCTATGTGTACCTGCGTCGCATGTAAGGTTCGCGAGCAGGATGATTGCTTATTTAAATTTGACCGCATCGCATGTATGGTTCGCGAGCGGGGTAATAGATGGATCTATGGTTCATGCCGTTCGACCCTCGGCAATGCACAGTTTAAATATTGTTGGATCGGGCCATACGTCCTCGGCATGAGTTGCGCATGCTTGTATTGCTTGCTGTGAAAGTTGTTGATACTAATACCAGCTTTCCCCGACTTGAGATAATTGTTAATTATTGGATTATGAATCCGGAGATTTTAATTAAAAAGGAACTTTCACCTGTTTAGTGACTCATGTGAATTTTACTGTTGTTCTTAATGGATCTGTGAGTCATCGCATTTATAATATTATTACTGGACCTTTAGTAAGTGTTGAAGTTGCCATCTCGTCTCTACTTCTTCGAGATTAGGCGGGATACTTACTGAGTACACGTTATTTATGTACTCCTACACTTCTGTGCATTTTTGTTGCACATGCACTTGTACTACTAGTGGCCTACTGGACGTAGCAGCATGGATGATACTGAGACTAGGTGAGTTGTATTACTCGAGGTGCCCCGCAGCTAGTATAGTCTCTTCCAGTATATTGTATTTATTTTCTGTTCAATTGTATTCCGGACAACTGTTGTACTTTATTCGGTTTTTTTCTTTCTTAGAAATTGCTCATGCACTTGTAACACCGGGTTCTGAGATGGTTTTGAAGTACTTTGTATTAATTGTTTATCATTTAATTTGAATTGAAGCGATTATCTTTTTACTTATAAAAATGGAGGAAAATCATAGATTTCAAGGGTATTAAAACGAGATTTTAAATAAGTAATTTGGTTGGCTTGCCTGACGGTGATGTCCGGCGCCATCACGACCCTTAGCGGATTTTGGGTCGTGTTTTTCTCATGTTTTGTTGCTAACTCTAACAGGAATGCTGAACTATCCATGTTTTCTTCCTACCTTTTCAAATTATCGGGCAATGTGACAAATTAATCTGAAAATGGATGTGTTAATTCCAAAAAAACATGTAGGTATCAATTGTTGCCACTTTCTTAAATTCGCTATTAGTTTTACTATATATCCTTAAGATCGATTACTTTAATTCTTTCTTAGTAGTAGTGAATAACAATGCAAAAAAAACCACATGCCTCGAGTGTGTCCCACGTGATCAAGACAACGAGAAATTATGTTGGGCTAAAACAACATTGATCTTTACTAAGATTGAAGTCTAATTCATTTATTAACTTTTGTCCAGATAAAGATACTTCCTACTTATTATACCAAAAAGAATTGTAAATAACTGTTTTTTAAGGGACAAAATCAAAGTTATATTTATCAGCGTTATGACCAATTTTAGTTTATTCGACTATTACTAGTTGACAATAACTTAAAGTTTTACTTAATACTACATGATAATGATTATTTTTTAAAATCAGAGCCGAAATGTGGTCAAAAAATGTTATTTTTACCAAAGATACGTGTGAATAATTACTGGTTACCAAATTTCCCCTTTTAAAGGATCTTTACACAAATAGCCGGTCAAATTTATTTTTATCTTTTAACCAGTGTACATATATTATATAATAATTATATACATATTATATATAAATTATACATATATTATATATCCGTTGCCTTTTTAACTTTACGGTTGGGTCGGCGGTTATTTTAGTTAATTCTTTCCTTTTTTTTTAATGTATTCTGAGCTAGATGAACCGTCAAACCTAGGCTGGCCCATTTTTTAGCCCAAATCGCGATGGGTTTCAATAAGTATGCTTTTCAATATGGGATTTTTTCCTATCTTACCATATATGAAACCTTATTACCAAATATATGCATAGTATCTAAATTACCCGCCCTGTGCACTGTTTTTCTATAATTTTTATACCATTCATTAATTAGTAATTAATAGTAGCTGAATCTTCCTAATATGGCGCGCTAAAAATCAGGAAAAGAATATCCTAATTGATTTAGTGATCTTCAGTTCAAGTTTGAACGCAAATCCTTTATCTGATCTCTCCCGAATTTTTTTCGTAATTCAAAAAAAAAGACTAAAAGCTTCAACAAACTGAAATCAAATCTGTTCTTCATCTTTTTTTTTTCTCAATACACAAATCAAAAAAACAAATAAAAATATAGAACAATACCTTAGCAACAACACTCAATCGTGTCCAAAATTCCAATCATGCTACAATTGAATGGGAAAAATCTGATTATAAAAATGGGTCTCATCTCTGTATTTTTGGAGAAGAAGAAGGAATGGAGAAGAGGAAGTCTGATTTTATGTTAATATCTACAAAATTCCTACATTTATCTACAAATAAACTACAAATCAGTTTAAGTATGTATAAAGCAGTATTGTTTTTAAGGGTATCTACAAAATTAAAACATTTATACTACAATTAAACTACGATCTATGTTGAAAAAAAATATTGACTACAAAATTTTATATTTATCAACAAAATTTCTACAAAAAACTACAAATAAACTACAAATCAGTTTTAGTATTGTATAAAGCTGTATTGTTTTTAAGGGTATCTACAAAATTACTACATTTATACTACAATTAAACTACGATCTATGTTGAAAAAAAATGTTGACTACCAAATTTTCTCTTGACCTACAAAATTTCTTCAAAAAAATTACAAATAAACTACAAATCAGTTTAAGTATTGTATAGAGCTGTATTGTTTTTAAGAGTATCTACAAAATTACTATATTAAACTACAATTTATATTGAAAAAAAATATTGACTACAAAAGGTTTCCTATGTGGCATAGGAATGTAAAAATCCCAAAAAAAAAATAGGGTTTTAAGATCCATAATACAGCTACTAATAACTAAGATGTGCAGAAACAAAAACAAGAAAAGATGGAGAAACAGAAAGAAGAGAAT